CTGCCCTCGGCCATACCCCGAAGGGGTGCTGCGGCTCCTGCCCCACGCAGGGGTGCCCCTGCGGATGCTGCCAGCCTGGCAGCCCACGGTGGCCGGCCGAGGGGCTGTGCCACCTCCTCAAGTAAAAGCAAGGCGTTTTCTAGAGCCGGGGCCGCCCGCCGTGCCCCGTGGAGGTGCCTCGTGTGGTTTAACCACCGCTGTCTCCGCGCTTGCTGCACATGCCACAGAGCCTGTACGTGACGTAAAAGCCGCGGTCCATCTGTGCTGCTCGTTGTCTGGTCTGGAAGGAGGCAAACCCCGCTCGGAGCCGCTGCCTCGCTTGCTTTCTGCTGCGCCTCCGGAGCTGGAGTGGGGCTGGTTAATAAACATGATTCACTGTTGTCTTTTAGCTGTCAGGGCTAGAGTGAAGCTCTTGGTGCCGGCAGGTCTAGCTCTTCTCACTCGAGGGCTAATGCATTTTGCTTTGGGAAACAGTGACACCCAGCACCACGCGTTAGCTTTACCTCACGAACAGACCATATACAATTTCCAAACTACTCAGCAATAAAACTCTTCTGTCTCCTGCCTCGGTGCCAGCTGTTTGATTAGGAATAAGCAGAGGTTGGCTTTTATTCGTAGGAGTAACAGAGGATTTTTTTTTTTTCCCCCTCCCTTTCAGCTTGCAAAAGATAAAGAGCGCCTGCAAGCCATGATGACACACCTGCATGTGAAGTCAACTGAACCAAAAGCCACCCCTCAGCCCGTAAGTACCGAACTGTGCCGAAAGCAAACAAAACCTCACAACAAACCTCTCTTTCCTGTTCCCCACCGGAGCCTGTGATGCGAAGCGTGGCCCGCTTCGGGGCTGGTCGGGGTGAGGAGATGCAAAGCGCCGCTTTGCAGGAGGCACCGCCACGGGGACCCGGGTATCGTCGTTCCCCTCTTTTCAGGGAGTTTGAAAGAAGTTTTGCTCTAAAGCTGATGCACTGGGCCTTTTCCTCCCCTCGCATACTGGCCTGTAACTTGCTTTGCATCAGTCCAACTTGCATGAAATCTTAGGAAGTGTTAGGAAGGAGATGTAATTCAATTATATTTAGTGTATTTATTTTTCTTTCTCCCCGTGTGACAGACATTTACAGTAGAAGAGACTCTAGCTGCACGTTTTGATGATAATCACGGTTACCCAGTATCATGTTTTACACTGTTGAAACTGAGAAGGGAAACCTTCTCAGGCCCAGATTGCCCTTTAAAAAAGGGGGTGCGGGGGAAGCAAGTGGCTTTGTAGCCCAAGGCAGCTCCTGGGTACCCCCAAACCCGGGCAAATCCACCCTCTCGTCCCCTGACCAAAATGACTCTTCTTCAGCTGTTGTTTTCTCCCAACCTCTTAATGCTGAAAATGTTCCTCGGAGCTTCCAATGATTATTCAAAATGGAGAGAGTGCTTTGCTTCTTGATTTTAAGATTTGTAAGATTTAAAGGTACACTGGCTTTATTTGATTTTGCTTTGAGTCATTGTGTGAAAATTAATTGAGCGTTGACAATCTATAGTTAGTACTAGCAATTTTAATCAATATGCAATGATGCAGCATAATGACAAAGTATTGGTTTATCTGTTTTGACTGATTTTTTTTCTATAAATAAAGCAAACACACGCCCATATATGTGTGATTTATGGTGATAGAAATAAAAAGGAGTCAGACTATTAACCCAGCAAATATGGTAGCCTGCCAAGATGCAGTTGGTAGACAAAATTAATGTCTGAAACAGAACACATTACAGAGACAGAGAACATAAAATCATTAAACACTTCGCGCACCCATTTTTACTAGAAAAGGATTTCTCAGTTTCCATGTAGTTGGAAATAAATGGCTGCAGAAGTGCATAGGGAGGCTACTAGACAGAAAATTGCAGGCTTTTCAGCAACACTGGAGCAGATGTCAAAGTCAACGGGAAATTTCGGTGCCTTCTTGGAGAGAGTTGAGTGGTAGGTATAAACCCTTCCGTTTAAGCTGTTGAGATGCCGAAAATTGCTTGATCCGGTGGATACCAGCCCTCTAGAGTAGAAACTACTTACAGTGTCTATAAAAATAGCATTCTTCTGGTTCCTCGCCTCCATCTCAGCCTGAATGCAAATGCTTCAGCGCATTGTTGGCAAAGTACGTAGACCCAACAGAATGGGGAGGAGGTTTGGTTTCTATAGCTCTTACTGGATTAAAAATTAAAACAGCGGAATAATCTGGGAGTCTCAAAGCACTCTGCCTTGAGGCCTTTCATAACAGCGGTGCCCCTCAGGAGGAAGGATTAAAAACTAAAGGGAGGAAATCATGAGAAGGCGAGCGGTGTTTGGCAAGGCAGCTCGTGATCGATGCTCAGCCGCGGAGGGCAGGAAGCTTTCGCGGGTGTTGTAGGCTAAGGAGATACCAGGCGGTGTCGCCATGAAGATTAGTGTTAACAGCTAATAAACAGGGAAAAGCAGTGGGGAAAAAAAAAAATATCTTTTTTTTTAAAAAAAAAAAAGAACGCAGGGGGAGAAGGGCTGTCTTGATTAGTATTAAAAATGTTTTACATTCTGGAAAATTATAGCTTTGTTGGGGACCTCCTACTAAATTTATTTTTAACTGCTCTATTGAAAATTCTGTACCACTAGTCAACATTATCTCTCAGTTGCTCAGCACAGTGTTTCTTTATTAAAAGAAATAGGCATGAATATTTTTGACTGAAAAATTAATAGCTTTTGAATTCATACACAGCAGGTTTTCTTTTGCAAAGAAGTCCAATATCGCTGCACAGCACTTCTATAACCATTTATTTAGAGTCCAAGTCAAACCTTTGACAGCTAGAGCAGTGTTACAAGCCAACATAAAGAACTCCAAGATGTAAACCAACAATAGGCAGTCTGTGTGAGGTTTGCCATTGTCAAATACATAGATTGTTTGGATTAGTTTATGTAAATGTACTGTTGTATTACCCTTTAGAAAAAAAAAGATCACATTTGTGTATGAAAAGTGGTTTCGTTCACAGGCAGCATTATAAATTCCTTATCCTTTAACTTACATGTTAGAAGTAAAAATTGGTGCCTGACAGGCCTATATTGTGTGGCACTCTGTTGTTGGATTGAAACTGCCTTCTTTTCATTTATTGAAATATAGAAAAATTTATTATAGATACCATCTGATAAATCAGAAATTATTAAAATATGTATAGGTGAAGCATTTGAAAATTAATTATAAAATGTAGAAGTATAGTGTTTTGCATAAATTGTGCTTTCCTAGTGAAAAAAATACACAGGCATTGCATAGACTGTGCTAGACCCCGGTCCTTTTAACTCAGTGGGATAGGACTTTGGTAAAAAGATCTGATGACCGTTATTGCAGTGCAAAGTATTCTTTACATCCAGTAATTAATTTTTTTTTTTTGCCAACATAACTAATGCAAGGTGTATGTTAGAATTAATATATTACCGTACATCGGTGATTTTAAAGGAAAGAGCGGCTGCGAATCCAAACATAGCAGTGAATTGGGATTTAAAATTACAGCCTTTTCATGACTGAGGAAATGTTTTTATTCTGCTTAAAGGATCTTAGTGCTTGTTTTTAAACTGTTTTCGTGCTGGCAGGTAAAATTGGTGACTGAGCGTCTGTGTTAACCACGTGCCATTTGTAATCCAGACTGACCATTGGTACCTTCTTTGCCTTTTGGGCTTCTGGCAGTAGCTGAGCGGGTGGTTTTGGACCAGTTGGACCACAGCCAGGTTCTCAGTGGTTGTGTGTCGATTCCAGACTCGCCCAGCTTCAGGGAAGGGTTGCTCGTCCCGTCTAGCCATGTCCATCCATCACATCCCCACCTTGGGGTGCCTTTAGCTCCGTGCAGTAATTCTGACCTTGGCAAGGGTGGTGGGGTGGCCCGTGCATGTCACCACACCGGTCCACCGAGACATCTGTTCGGTAAAGCTCTTTAGTCCTATTAAAGCCGATGAGATCAAAGCACATTCTTACGTAGTGTAGTGGCCTAAATCTTTGGCAGGTAGGTACGGCCGCGGGGAGGTCGCTGTTGATGCTTGGGGTTCTCCAGGGGCAGCTCTTCCCCTGCTGCTGGGGAGCTGCTGGGCGGACAGGAGCGGGCTGGGGAGGGAGAGCACATCAGGAGCCGGGGCACTGCTCAGGGCCACCTTTAATAAACATCCAGTTTCATACTTAAAATTCCCAGCAGTGCAGCAGTTTAAAAGAAAATGGACATATCTCGCAACTTAACGCTCGGAGCAGGAAAAGGTGTTCCTGTTGCCGCTTGGGTGTGTTGTTTTGGTGAGACTGAAGGACCTGAATAAAGTGAGAACAGAGCTGTATGTGAAAGAATATGCTGTGATACATTTTTCTAAGGCGAACTTTTTTCAAAGTTAAAAAAAACCCGCCCAAAACCAAAAAACACGACACAAAAGCCAGAACAACAATTTTTGAAGAATTTTCTTTCTGGATTTGCTATTAAGATACCTTCCCCTACATGCTGTTTTCATTGGTGTTAGTGATCAGCATAATAGGTTGAAATGGAAATTGTGCTTTCTTTTGGGGGATTAACTTACGTCGAAGCTCATAGGAAGGGAAGGAAAAGGAAAAAGCATCAACCAACAAGTAATTCTGCATACTAGGCGCTATAACTGTCTTTTAAAAATAGACAGAAAACTTTTTAAGAAACTTTTGGCATTTTAAATAAAATGCACTGTTAGATATCCCTTCTTTAATGTATTTTTTTTACCCTAACCATAGCAGTTACGATTGTTTTGAAATACTGTTTTTAGCAACTGTAATAACAAAGCATTAAAAAAAAAATAGTCTTTTAACTGTTGAGGTAATGACTGAGCATTTTAGCTGCTGTAGCCGTACTTTATAGTTTGAGAAAATAACGAAACGCAGCAATAAAGAGAGATTCTCAAGCACAACAAAAGCTGTTTTTATATACTGGTTTTCATTAAGTCTCACTCCTCAGCTTCGGTTTCCTTAGTGTTCCTGCCAATAACAACACCTGCTAAGTGATTGCTGCCTGCCAGGCTCTGCATCTAATACACTAATGTGTCCAGGCTGAGACGGGAGAGGAAGACACAGCATTTAACGAAGTTTTAGGCCCAGCGTCAGCTTTCTCTCCCACCCTCGGCGTCAAGAAAAGGAATCTCTTCTCCGGAGTGTTTCAGTCCCAGGAACTCGGTGCAGAGAAACCCTCAGCCCCAGCTGGGGCCGGAGCGGCAGCATCCATCGCGCAGGAGTCGCTGCCCTGCAGCAGTGGGTATGGCCCCACCGTGATGCTTAGAAATATCTAGATAATTTTTTTCGTTGTTTCTTTTTTAAAAGAGTTTTGGAGTCTTTTTTATGTGCAGCCGCTATTGTCATGTAAAATGTTTACACAAAAAGAAATCGGGCTGAGCCCTAATGGAGAGCCACTTACTGGAAATCTGTTTTACGGGGTGAAGGAGAGGGTTACCTCTCTGCCTTGTTTATATCTAAAGGAAAAAAAAAAAGAAAATGACTCAGTCTTCACCTTTCATGGGAAGACATGACTATTTCTTGAAAGGGAAGGTTGATAAAATCCTAAGCAGGATATTGAACGCTGAAACAATTCTGGCATTTATGATTAAGTTAAAATAGTACAAGGAAATGTTCTCAAAAACCAAAACTGAGCAAAGCACCCAACAAGGTTCAGTGATTGAATTTGCATAGTTTTAGGACCTAAAACTTGTGGAGTTCGGTGGTTTTTCTGTTGTGTTTTTTTTTTCCCCCTTCTTGTTTTTGGGTTTTGGGGTGGGTTTGTTTTGTTTTGTTTTTAAGGCTGGAGGAAGTCCTCCCTGCCCCCATCCCCAGTACAAACATTACAGGAGCGTTTAACTCTTTGGTGCAGGGGCTGTGCTCTCCTGTACTCTCTGTACCTGGGGAGTGCCCCACGTTGTGCCTTGTTGCGGTGCAAGAGTTGTTGCTCGTTGAAGTGCTGACTCCGGGAGTTAGGCTCCCTCCCCTCCGACAGCAATCATACCTCATCCAAAAATTACAGTATGTGGGAAACAGGCTGTCTGCAAAATACCAACGCGAACAACTTTTCTAATCATAGTAACTTGTTTTTAAATAGAAAATGCAAACAGGGAGGAACCGTGTCGAGTTTCCATCAGGAAAAGAAACCCTCCCAGCCTGGTCCCTCCCTGATCTTTGCCCTGCACAATCACCCACCGCCGCTTTCACGTTTCTAATTGATGCCAATATTAAGATTTAATAGTTTACCATTCAGGTTAATAATTCAAGATGGCAACAAAACCAACACCATTCATAATTTGTTATTCTGCTCTAATTCACAACCGATTTTTCAGCCTTCGTGCTATAGAGGCAACAAAGAAAGCAGCAGCGAGGGTCCAGGGAGGGAGCGCAGCCCTCTCCTCCCTTACTCGAGCTTGGGTTTCGGTATCGGCACCGGCAGGGATCAGACCCCGGCTGGAAGAGGAGAGTGTCATCACATAAAACGCGGAAAAAGGAAAAACTTCGCTCGCGATCGACAAGGTCGTGTTTCATTAACTTGTTGGTTCAGGCTCGCAAACGGTCGTCGGAGGTGAAACGCAGCACACTCGCTGCGTTCCAGCTTTTTGTTCTCTCTTTCCTCACAGACTGCAGTCATGTTTAATTTGGAAACTGGGCTCCTTTGGCAAATTAGCAATTAGAACAATTTTGTGGGAATATGTATATGTGTCATTAGTTTTCCTGCAAATTAATAGCGAGAGCAGAGGTCAGGCAGAAATTTTCCACTTGACTGCAGCTCCTCTGTTGAGATTTGGCACTTTGTTTTGGAACGGCCACAGCTGCTCAAAGCCACAGTCTTCCTTTAGGAACTGTCTTTTAATTAGTTTACCTCATAGCCATTATTACAAATATTACTGCCTCCCCTCCTTGAAATAAAATTACTGTTTCTACAAAATATTCCGGTGACATCTTGCACCGCTGCACATTGATGGTGGGGTCACTCGGATGCAGCGTTTAATCATTAGATCACCTCCATAAGCATCTCCTAATTAGAGTCCTTACAATACAATTTTATCTGGTAATTAGCTGAGATTGGCTGCTTCCTCTGTAGCTTATTAGTGGCAGCCCAGCAGTGGGTGTGAATCACAGTGTCATTTGTCAAGCCTGTTAAAGGCCCCCCCCCCCTTTGCTCGTCCTCTTCTGTGTTTATTCCTAGTTGCTACCTACGCTGAAAAGCCTAAAGAAATTTAACTCGATTCAAATTCTTTAACCAGAGAACGCTGACCTTTGCGGATCCTTTCTCGCGCTTCCCTAGTAGAAACAGATTAAATGTTAAGTTTTTACACGCTGAAAAAGGAAGGGGGCTCTTTTGAAATGGAGTAGTTGGAGCCGTAATGATGAAGCGCGAGCAGTGATCTTTCCAACAGGAGGGCCCGGCTGCCGAGCCGGCGCTGGAGACCGGCACTTAAAATTGATGCAGATTTGCTCGCGGTTATTGGACTGTTAAAATGTCCATTTAGAAACTGAGATAAAATACAGTAGATTTAATTTCATGGTGAGACCTGTCAGTTGTACTGTTATTATCGTCACTGGTCCTTTTATCATATGTAATAGATGGATAGATGGATAACAGGGAGACATTACTATATACGTGTCCCTAATCAGCGTCTTTAAATCACGCCAGTCAACAAACGGACCGGGCTCTGGGTGGCGGCACGTGGCGGCGGTGCCCGGCGCCGCGGCGCTTCCCGACCTCCGGGCTGCATTTAGCGGTTCCCGCGGGTGCGGGAGGAGCCTCCGGGAGATCAATACCCGTATTTCACCGCCTTTCGCCATCCCTCGCTGGGTCCGCGCTCTCCGGCCTCGCCGCAAAGCGTTAAATATTTCCCGCTGGAAGGCGAAGCGTGGTTTGTGAGCACCTGGGCAGAAGGATGGGTGTTTGCTCGCCACCTCCTTGCCTTGGAGCCGGTGGAACCGGGCGTTCGTGGTGGGGCTTCCCTCGGCTCGCTGCCTCTGCCGTCGGGAGGGAAAAGCAATCACGGTTTATCTGTCGCTCAGCTGAGCCCTTTCTGTGGGCGATGGGCTTTTTTGTGTTGGCATCCTTTGTGTAATATTAGAGCCCTTTCTTTTCCACTACCTTTGTTTTGGATAAATCCTTTTATTTTTATAAAGAAATGTTATTTGTGGCTATTAACTCATACGAGTGATGCTAATGGGAGTTTTCTTATCTAGTTACTTTCATAGGAGGAAAATTAATACAGCGCCTTATGGATAAACATGAGCTGTTTGGGGGCATAGCCGAGTAGTGTGCCTTGCCTTCATCTGAAAAGGTTTAATGTCCAGCAAAAAGGAATTTTAATCGCGAACGAAAGTTGTAAAATTCTGGCCCTGTTAAATTCAGTAGGAATTTTGCTACCGACTTCAATGGGGTCAGGATTTCACCAATATTATTGGCAAAACCGCCTAAGGGAAGGAAATGTGGAAGTAGTCAAAGAGCCCTTTTCTCGGTCGTCTTTTCTGATGTTGTAGTTAAGAGATCGGATTGTTTGTTTAAAATACTTCAGAGTGACCTATTGAGACGGGAGCATCGTCTTTCAAAGGGCGTCGTAGGGCAAAAAAGAAAGGGTCGGGGAGGAATGTGGATGCTGGTTATATAAATAGGGTTGTGTATCGAAAACACTTGAGTTGGGGCTGGGTTTGATCCGCAGTCCCAGAGGCAGTTGTGGTTTAGAGGCGGCTCTGGCGAGCTGCCATTTGTGCGGGACCGGGCTTCGTGCAGGTAACGCTGCTGCCTTCCCTCCTAGGAGGAAAGGGGAAAAAAAAGAAGTAAGAGTGGTGCCACTTCTGCTGGGCTGAATGCTTGCAGTATTTCATGCAGTGTGATTAATTAAATTATTCCAGTGTTAACCTACTCTGGGCTTTGCTTTTAAAATGGATGAACGGAGGGGGGTGGGGGGGGACAGGACCCAAATGCTGAAGAGAGAGATTGCATTTCTCCCTAGTACGTCCCTAGGAAAGTCTTGCCTTTTATTTTAAGCCTGATGCCTTCAATGAAATATCCAAGAAGATTGATTAGAAGCCGTGCATAATGATAGCATGGAAATAAGAGACGTGCGGGGGTTAGATTGTGAAACAATGGAACTAAAATAAAATATTAAAATGATTATGTACTGTGTGAGATCTCGTTTTAAGATTTAGATAAAAATCCACGATTGTAGTTCTGGCAGCAGGCTACGTACGTTATTCTTTTTTTTAAAACCTGTTCGGAAACGTATATATTTATTCCCCTTTACTGGCTCCTAACGGAGATGTTACAAGAGCACTTTGTGCCGAAGCGAGCGCTCAGGCTGTTGCCTGCTTCGAACTGAGGAAGACCCCGTTATCGAGAATTTTCTCTGCAGCTGTTAATGAGCCAGAAATGCCGTTTGTAACGAAATCCTCATCCTTCCCTCCGCAGCTGAATCTGGTATCGAGCGTCACGCTTTCCAAGACCGCATCCGAGGCGTCTCCGCAGAGCTTACCTCATACTCCCACCACCCCGACTGCGCCCATCACTCCCGTCACGCAGGGACCGTCGGTCATCACTACCACGAGCATGCACAACGTGGGACCCATCCGGAGGCGGTACTCGGATAAATACAACGTCCCCATTTCTTCAGGTAAAGGGGTTCCGGTGGCGCAGCCCCTTCGGTCGGGGCGGCTTGCTGGCGCTCGCAGCCTGGCGGCTGTGATGATAACAGAACAACTGCTCTTATTTAGCAGATATTGCCCAGAACCAAGAATTTTATAAGAACGCAGAAGTTAGACCACCATTCACGTACGCATCTTTAATTAGACAGGTAAGCTGAGCCAAACACACGCATTTGGATTAGGAAAAAAATAAAAAAAGATATCTCCCTATATGTGCACACTCTGGATTAAATAGATTTTCAAACCTTTGGTATGTAAGCGTGCTCAAATGCTCAAACCTTTACTATAAGGGTTTTTAGAACTGCAATATATAACATAATTGCTTTTGATTAAGTATTACAATACGATGTGATTATTAGGAAATTCATTTCACACAACAGTGAAAATGAGCCTGTTTAAAGATGGCAAGTCAATTATCACAAGCTACAGTAATCTCTGATCCCTAGAATTAATCTGAGCTCTAAATAATTACTGAGCTTTAATCAGCTAGTGAAATGTTTTGCATTTCTCTTTGATTCTGCTTTATGAATGACTAATAAATTAATATTTCTGTAAGGAAACAGAAATAAAAACTCAAAACAATTAGATAATTCCATTTTGAATTTTGCCATTGAACTGTTAAATACAGCCATTAATCTTAGTTCATATTGTGAAAACCCTCCTTTGGATTTTTTGCTCCAAATCTCTTCTTTCTTTCCTTCTTTCTTTCTTCCTTCCTTTCTTTCCTTTTTGTATTTGGTAAAATAAAACCGTGAGTGTATTCTGTACGGGTGCGTTCGCAACTCACCTTGCAATCGCTTTGCTTCACAAGGCCATCCTCGAATCTCCAGAAAAACAGCTAACACTAAATGAAATCTACAACTGGTTCACGCGAATGTTTGCTTACTTCAGACGCAACGCGGCGACGTGGAAGGTAAGCCTCAGCCCGCCCGCGCCTCGTGCCTTTGATATCTGACATGTACAGAATAGGCATTGCTGATGACATAACAAATTGTAACGACATGTGGACATGAAAATTTAGATCGGCAGTTGTGACACACACTGGGTGCCTTATCTGCAGGAACAATTTGATATTTGGCAGAAAAATTCTTCTGCCTTTGAAAACCACTAATTGAATCCCCATTATTGGCTTTTATGTTCTGTGATTATGCCACGAGTTCCTCTGTGTGGTTGCTGCTAGCAGTGAAACTCAAGCCCTTCAGCTGGAACGTATTAGGAAAAAAAAAAAAAAGAGGTAAAGTTATTGTGTCAGTAGAAGATACACTGTTTGTCTTTTCAGTTATGTAGACTGTAATCACAACAGCCACTTTTTTTCCTGAGATCTATAGATCAGTGGATTTCTTCGCTCAATCAATTGACTCTTAACTACATACACAGATCCGTTATAAACTTCCTCTTTTTTTTTTATTTAATTACACAGCAGAGGCTTATTCAACATAATAGGCAAGAAGCAAGCCTCACAATAAGAAATGTGTTTAACTTCATATTTGGCGCTTTAATTTCCTACCATAACCATCTCAGATACTGTTAGATAAGAGGTCTGGGGAGTTAATTTTATTTTCTATTTTGAGGGGCCACTCCTTCCCTTATATACAGCATTATAACAGCCACACTGGCTTCTGAAGCTAGTGCAACTACAAATGAATGAATCTAATCACAGGATCTTGTATCACTGTGAAAATTGCACCCCCGGTACTTTGAGCCTCTCTTAATCTCAACAACTCTGTTGCTCTCAAACAACTCCACATGACCAGGTCAGGTGAATGTGTCCCATACAAGCTGTTTCATCCGCTCTTTCTGTTTTTCCTGTCCCAGACTGATTAATTCCTTCAGAGGATGGAGCTAAAAATGGTCTTGGAAGTTAGTGTGGGTTTTAGTAGCATGTTTTGCTTTTAATTGAGGTCCCAGCACAATTTCGTACATTTTCAACCTTGGTCTAGAAGCTCTTAGGTTCAGGAAAAGTCTCTGTGATCGCTGCTTTGATTCTTCACTGCAGTTGGAAAACATGAGCAGCGTTTCACTTCGCAGCTTCCTTACTATCCAGAAAGGAAATTAACTTTCCCTGATTTAAGATCCTTTTAGACCTGCCTGTCTTTTGCTGCTGGAGTGGTTCCAGTGGGACTTTTCAGCAGCTGCAGGTGTGGGTGCTGAAGTAAAAATCCTATTTAATTCCAGCAGCAAAGGGAAGGGAAGTGGAGGAGGGAGTGGAAGGAGGCAGCCGGCAGCCCTGGCCGTGTCTCCTGCGAGGCGAGTTTTAGGAATTAGCTTTGTGCATCACGTAAAATCCAGTCCCAGAAGCCACGTGCGCTTCCAGTCTGCTTCTGCAGAAGAGGAGGAGAGAGGCTGAGCTGCAGAAGGGCAAGATGCATCCCGGGGAGGCAGGTGCCATTTGGAAGACCCCTCCTGGACCCCTTGACCTTGTGCAGGTGCCCGGGTCCTGCTTCACCTACCCGGGAAGAGAAGCTTCACCCCAGGTCCCACCAGCGCCAGCAAAATTGGCAACTGCTTGAAGTAATGCGGGTTTTCGTGCTGAAGACTGCTCAGATTTATGCCAGCCTTCAGGAACGGCGGGGATGAAAATGCAGCTCTGGATTGGCATGACGGGAAGCCCACGGGGCGCAGAACGAGCACAAGGGGCTAATTGCAGAATCAGGATAATTTGAATATATACGTGCTGATTTGCTCTCACCTTCAGCTAATGCCTAGGGGGCGTTTGGGTCACTGTTCCCCAAGTTTAGGGTCAGGTTTTGGTGTGGGCAAGCTTCCCTGAGCCCTCTTTCAGAAACAGAGAAGAGTGCGGGAATAAAGACCTTTAAAAAATGAACCTCTTTTCCAAAATGCAGTACAGCAGAGCCTGAGCAGTTATTAAAATAACAAACCCTTTCATTTACTACATTCAGGCATGTTCAGGGTAATTTTTCTGCAAAAGTGGCTTGCATACAAATATTTTTAACAAGGTAAATATATAATCTTACAATAATAGCTCCTAATTTTTCTGTTAAGCTGATTGCTGGGGGAGCACTGTGAACTGGTTCTGACAGGTCAGAGGCAATGTCTGTTTGCTTTTATTTTTTGGAGTAATTTGCTGGCACTGAGTCGCAGCCATGAGGCACGGGCTGCAGGTGTGGCTCCGAAACGTTGGGGTATTGTTCAAATAAAACTGTTAGATAGCAAGTATCCAGAGGCAGGGGAAGCAAAACAATTTTTTTTTTTGTCCTGCCGTGAATTCCTTAAATAAGTGATCATGTGGAAAATAGAAAGCGAGGGAAACGCTTCGTGGACATCTCGCAAATAGGCAACTTGTCTGTCTCAACGTATTCAGCGAGAGCCCGATCCAGCGGCCTTAACCATCAGTTGCACGTTGACTTCAAGACAGCAAGAACAGACTGTAAGGTATTTCTCCGGCATTAAATTTATTTAAAGAAGAACACAAATATTTCTGCTCAACCCTGTATTTAGAGACTGTTTACAAAATCCGAGGACTCACTTCCCGAACTTCGCTGTGCCCGTTTGATCAACTGCCGTATGAACTACAAGATCGGCTTTCGCTGGGGGAAATAGTGTTATTATTCTTACATTTTGCTCCAGACTTGACAGTGTTCCCATTTTCACAGGAAACTGCCTGAGTTACCCAGATGTGGGCCGGCAGCCCTGGGTCGGGTTGCAGGAGCGCGGCACCCACCAGCGCTTGCTGAGCTGGCTGATTTTAGCCCGTAAGGTGTGGGGCGTTCGCATGTTTTTCCTCTACCTCAAAATCGGGGATTTTGCCAAAAGTTTTTTGACAGTAGTGAAATCTGGGAGAGGTGGGAGGAAACAACAACAACAACAAAAAATAATTAAAAAAAATAAGAACAGAAGAAAGTAAGGGCAGAAAGAAGCAGCCCTGATGGACAGCTTGACTTTCTGCTCGATTTCTCCCTTGCTGCGAGGAAAAGCGTATCCAAGGTTTATTTTTCCACCGGTTCGCAAGCACATGAATGTGTGGAAAAGCCGAAGCGCCGAGATACGGCACCTACAGCCAGAGGAGACGTGTTTGCGCTCAAAGCATCTGCTGAGCAAAGGTGGTTTGAGGTTTGAGCCCCGACTCTACCCCTGTTCCAGGGACGGGAGCGCGGGGACCGTGCCAGCGTCACAGGGAAATGGAAAAGTAGCAAAAGACTCTTCTTAGCTTTCCCCTCCCAGGCACACACACACACACACCACTGCCTCTTAATTTACATGACAAATGCGCTGTGCGTACCCTTTGTTTGCGCAGTGATTTAGACATTCATGATTAGAGCTCCTTTTCACCATCCCGACCCGATGTTCATTAAAAAAAAAAAAAAAAGAAAAAAAGACGACGACAATGACGATGGAAGGAAAAAGAATTGTAGTGTCCTGGTTGCCTAGACCCAGGCCATGTGTTTGGCTGGCATTGTGCCTGCTAACGAGTCAACCAGATTGACTAAATCAATGGTGCCAGTGATGATGGATGGAGTTTGTTCGCCTGCATATTTTCAGCAAATGGCTTCTTCTGTTTTCCCTGTTTACCGAACCCCTTTCAGCAGCGCTGGGGACAAGCTCCATGTACAAATTCGAGTGGCTTTGTAGTAGGGTATTCGCTCAGAAAACCCCTAAAACGGGGAAGGAGCACGGCACTCCCTCTGAGGAATAACAAGCCTCTCGGCACCGTTTCAGAGGGCGCAGGGACGGAAAAGCCACCAGCTTGCCGTGACGAAGCGAGGTGGCTCGTTATGTCCGGCTTCAGCAACGGTCCGAGCGCCTCGGAGGGGTTGGCCGGGCTCATCCTTCCCTGGCGCCGAGCTGCGGAGAGGACATCTGAGCATCGGATGCCACGAGCGCTGGTCCCTCTGGGTGATGAGCTGTGGGGATATTATCACTTTGTTTCGGAGAGCCCTCCTCATGTTTTTACTTGGCAGAGGCTCAGATCAGTCAGTACAGTAGTCTGCCAGAAATAGGAGCCAACTTCCATATAAGAGCAAGCCGCGGAGGCAGGAGTCGGTGCCGTGCCGGCCGGTGGGGTGCTGCTGAGCCCCCTGAGCCCCCGGTCCGTGCCGTGGGTGTGGATGGAGGTTCGGCACCTGATTCGCATTAGCCCAGCTGTGGGAAACCGCAGCAGCACCAGCTCCAGTGCCGCTCTGCTAAATCGAGCCGTCTGTACTTAGACGGAATCCTTTCTGTTCTTTCTAACCGCTTTCTTTTCCAGGAGAGGAGAAGTTTCTCTTTGCAGGGCGTATATATTTGTTTTGTAAATGTTGAAGCGATGTTCCTCTTGTGTTCTGTATGAAATGTGCCGTATTATACAACGTGCATGCTGAAAACGATGGCTGTTCTCATTCACACTGGGGGTAATTGATAAGAATAACTTGAATTGCTAATCTTGGGTTTAAGCTTTGATATTTATTTTGTCTTTGCAAAAATAAGATGTAAAGAGCCGGGGAACGCAAGCGGGTGTGGGGAGGGGAAGGGGCTTAACATTGCAAAATGAGGACTGTCAAGCTGACTGTGCTGCTGTTCTTGGACAATGATGAGCATTTTCTCATAGAAAGTTTTTGAGTGTTTTCTCTTTTATACTTGCTGCAGAATGCAGTGCGTCATAATCTTAGTCTTCACAAGTGTTTTGTGCGAGTAGAAAACGTTAAAGGGGCAGTATGGACAGTGGATGAACAAGAGTTCCAAAAACGAAGGCCACAAAAGATCAGTGGGTATGTCCACCATGTTTGAACTTCTTAGCCTAGCTTGGATCATGCTTACAGTTTAACGTAGAGGCTTTTGGCTGCTAGCTGGTGTTAGACCAACCACAGGTGGTTTCGCATTGTTTCAGTTAAGGGAAACCAAGACAAACATCTCATCACTACTGTTTGTATGCCCACCAGTACCCTGACCCTGCTTGCTTGGTGTTTGTTGCATCACATGCTAGTAGCTTTTAGGTGGCAATGCATATTAACCCTCACAAACCATTTGCTTATGCTTATTGCATTTTATTTTCTTTTTCCTTTTCCCTGTATTTGATGTCTGTTCTGTCCCCGATCCCGTGTCCCTTTGTTTCCACTTCATCTCCTTTGCTGCTGCTCTTGTCCCAGGGTGCCATTCGCACCAACCTCTCACTGCATAAGTGCTTTATCAGAGTAGAGGATGAGTTTGGGTCCTTTTGGACTGTTGATGATGAAGAGTTTAAACGTGGCCGTCATATTCAACGAGGCCGTCCTCGAAAATACTGCCCTGATGAAAACTTTGGCGAGCTTGTTGCACAGTAAGAGCTTTTACTTGCTTTAATTTTTTTTTTCTGCTGTTGCTTTGCTTTGCATGATTTACCCATCTCATGTAGACTTGCATTTCACAAAATAGTGACATCACCTTTGCTGCTAAAGAAACTAAATTTTTGGTTGTTATGTGTATTTTGTGTGTCCTACTCTGATAATCCAAGTGCCTGTAGTAATAACTCTACTTTGACATGTTTGTTATAGCATTTGTTTATAGTGCGATGTAGACTAAAGTAATTATCCGCGCTAGTGCAGATATGCTGCTGTAGACTTGTCAGGAAGACAGATATATGCCAGGAAAGGCTTCAGATAAGTTTTAATTCTGATATTTTCCTTTGCTTTCAGTCGTATGCCTTGTTTTGCAAGTCTTAATCAGAGAGAGGGAGAAAGGTGCCTATAAGACAGAAACTCTGAGTTAACTTTGAAAAGTTTGGAAGTGCAGTGAGACCAGCTGGAAGGGTTGTAATGAACAGGCCGTCCTGGGTCGACAACAACCACGCACAAATATTCCGGGGGTTCCCAATGCAATTTTCTCTGACCTTTACTCGAAGGCCATCTCTCCAGGACAACTGATCCTTGCTGGTCCCAGTGGGAGGGGCTTAGTTAAGACTCTTCTCACCGTGATCTATTTCCACGTTAAAAAAAAAAACAAAAACAAAACAAAACTCAAAAAATAAATAATGCCCAGCGAATGATAAAACTTTTTGGAGATTTTTTTGCATTGGCACTGTTTATCTAGTTTGTATTTGATTATTTTTTTTAGCTTTTTTTTTCCCCCTGTGGAGGAACCAGTGATATTTAGATGCCCACTAAAGAGAGAGCGGATATGCTTGGCATTGATTTTCCTCAAATCTGGGCCCTTATGTAAACTTAAGATCACTAAAGTAAGAGTCCAAAATAGCACGCCAGAATATTTTTTTTATTAAAATGGCCTTCAGGGCAGCGTGTTGTTTTGCACGGTCCATACCGCTCCGCTGCGGTGCAGCAGTACCTGCCCCAGACTGGTGGGGGTGGTGGCGGTGGCGGTCCCTCACCGGGACCACTCGCCGTTCGCCTGGCAAGAAATAACGCGGTTCAAACCCTCTCTCATCGCGGTCCCCTACTTTATTGCGAGGGACTCCGCTGCCAGTGACTCTGAGAATAATTTGCATGGAGTAGTATTTAAAATGTCCCGTGATGCTTTTGATCATAGCCTCCTCACGATGGACCTTTACATGGTAACTGGCTCCCAGACACGACGAATATTGGAGAATTTCTCCTGAACACAGCTAAAATGAGCAGAGATGCCAAGATGCGCTACTAACGCAGGGTAGTAGAACACATGGCGAGGTAACATCGAGAGATAATGATGTTCCTTATTTAGTAAAGGCAAATATGATAACCGTTGCCTAAAACTCAGATATATTCTTTAAATTAAAAATAAAATAAAATAAAAAAACCCAAAAGTGTAACGAAAGAGAACTTGTGTGGAACAACATTCTCAGCTCTAGTTTTCTGGTGTGGGAGGAAGCATTACATGCTTGAAACGCTCGCACAGAACTTGGTTGCATTTAACTCTCCTTTTTATGTTTTTCTTATGCAGTAACCCTTCTCTTATTAAAAACATACAGACCAGCCACACCTACTGCACACCTCTCAATGCTGCTTTACAGGTAAGATTAATGACTGTAGCAAATATGCAACAGAGGCGTGTGTCTTCCCCACTCATTTCAAAATATATTAGCCTTGCTCTAATTAGATATTAAATTTTAATTCCGTTAAACTTTTTTCTTAAGTGCATAAAGCATCATAGTCCCTGGAGGCAAACACATATCAGGCTGCTTCAGCATTAGCTAGATGCTTAGCATTTTGAATATTGTGGCAAAAAAATTAAAAGTTCACTTATTAATATTTATCAGCAGTATCATAATTTCCATCCTCTTATTTCAGAATTTCACTTGAGGCAAAAATACCACAAGTGTAATTACTCTAGCACAGCTATTAATGTGCTGAATGATAGGATACTGCGGCACGTGACCTTCTATTGTTCATGGGTTTAAAGAGAAAGCAGATCATTTTTCCCCCTTTTCTTTTAAGGGTTATTTTTGCATATCTTCCTATTGTTGGTAAAAAAATAAACGTCGCAATTCCTATTAAAAAAAAAAGATAGTTTTTATTGGTTTAAGCTGTACTGTAATTGTAAGACAAAAAATTCTGGGTTTTCACGATGTAGAAATACACAAAGTGTCAGTGCACAATTAGTAACTTGCAGCCTAAAAGTGTGCGCGTCTCCGGCCCTTTCTCATGTGCTGCGTTACCAGGTTGGCATTTCTTTTCCCCCTGTCTTACAAATTCCTGAGTCTATCTCCAAAACCCCAGGTAAAGTCGATATTTGCTGTACGAACCAAAGATAGGAACGCGTTCCCGTGCCCTGAAGTTGCAGGGGGGTTCGTGTGCTTGGGGGGGGGGTTCAAGCCTCTCCCATACAGTGTGAATTTATGGCTGCACCCCGCTCGTTTGTTGAGAGCCGCGTGTCGAGAAGTTCACCGATGGCCATGGGTATTTGCTTGGGCAACCGCTTTTTGTAGAAGGTTTAGCAGGCTTCTCTTTTCAGAACCAAGAAACAGATTATTAGGGGAAAAGCGATGTTCTGCATTTCTTCTAATTATTTGAGTTTATGCAGTAACTTCTGAAAATCAAATGAAAGCATGTTTAAATGAAGCAACTGTAAATACCATTCATTAGTAACTTATTTTCCCTTGAGTCTTGTGAAGTGTGATTTTTAAAGACTGCTTTGTCTCTTGAATAGTATTAAGATTACAAGCACATTTTACATTCATGAGGCTGAAAGGCAAAAGTGAAACGATCCTGCGTTTCTTCACATTGTTAACTATGTGACTAATTTCAATTAATATGCTTATCATACGGAACTGTTCGTGTTTTATTTCTGAAACACGTGTCGTTGTCGTCATCTCCATCCATTCTTGTCTTTTGTGATAACCTCCAAACTGTTTCCATTTCCCACTTTTCCTGGAAGTGGGATGTCCTTGTGCCCCCCTCCTCCCCATGCCCCGTAGCATCGTGTGAACTGAGCTGACGGAGAGCAGAGCCTGGGCCAGATTTGCTACTGCTGTGGCCCCTCTAATAAACGGGGGTGAACAATATTCGTTGCCCTGAGACAGGTCCTCGTTTAGGTTAAAAATACACCGGCAGGTTCCTCGCTCCTCTCTCCCCGTTGGATGTTGGAGGCAGAATCCCAGCGGGACCTCTACAGGGGTTTGAGCGAAGCCAATGCTGCGTGGGCAGTTTGGACCTCGCTTGGGCAACAACCTTCCTCCTAGGACGCAAGGCCGCTTTGCCTGCTAGTTCCTACGTTGGGTCTAATTAATAATTAACGAGCAGCATTCCCTTGGCAAAGACCAGCTCTTTGCGCATCCCTGTGAGCGCAGCGGCCGCCTCTCCGGGGGACGGCACGCTGTGCTGTGTGCCGCCGGGCTGGCAGGATGGTTTTTTCTTCTCCTGTGGGGTGGCAGAGCCGCCCCTCTCCTTCACCTCGACCCCTCTGACGTCTCCTCCGTCTTTTTTCCCTCGTGGCCAGGGAGAAGAAGCGGCTCTCTCCACGCTCTGTGTGTGGAAGGTACGGGGACTCCAGCTCCCACCAGTGCTCTCTTTTCCCAGCGGGTTGCCAAGGGCTCCCAAAACACCCCCCTTTCCTATTATTATCTTTATAGCAGATACTCCTCGTGTCCCACCTCCCCCCCAGTAAATCGCTTTACTGCAATTACAAGTTATCACTATGGGTGAAGAACTTGAGTCATTATTTTGCCCAAGTGCAGGAAATGTGAACCATTCTTTGCGTCCCCTAATCACAATGAGTTTGCCGGTTGTTGAATCGAGAAGATAAAAATAATCCTCCCCGTTAGAATAGCTTTTGTAATCACGTGTGACACATAGGGCTGCACATGGAGAGGTCAACGTAAGGAAGAATAAAAGGGGCCGTGCTCCTGAAGATGCCGCAGTCAGGGCTGGCCGTGCCCCCCCTTCCCATCCCGGCTCCCCTCACCCGGGCTCTGACTCCACTCGCTTGGAAAAATCTCTGCCGACTCGGCTGGGATGGCAACAAGCGAGGAGTTTTGTCCCACGAATGAGGAGCAGGCGGGAGCGTGCGGTGGGGAGGACATTTGCATGGATTCCCCTCCCACGGGCAGGGTTTGCGTCGCGCAAACCTGGAGTCTTGTTGGGTTTTTTGGCTCCGTCGCCGCAGCCGGCTGACCTCCCCCCGGCGCAGGTTGAGCACTGCCGAGCCAACGTCTGGGGGCTCTCCGGCGGTGACACCGCTCCGAGAGCTGCGGGTGATGTCAGCCGGATCCGGCTGGGATGGGTGAAATGGTTAAACGTCCTTCAAGAGTCCTTGGGCGATACGGCCTCGGAAAAGCCGTGCATCCCATCCCTGCCCAAACGTTGGGCTCCTCCGGGGCTGCGGGCTCCCGCGCTCCCACCACCACCGCGCCGGGCACAGGACTGTGCCGTCAACATGAGCTAATGCTGACACACAGTAAATACTAGCAGGCAGAACGGTGGGAATCAGAAGGAAAATATTTAACAGTTCATTCTCTTCCTACAAAGATTTCCATTTAGAAAGTTAACTCCAGTGTGCCTCTGCATGGTATTTCTTCAGAACGAGGAAAAATCGAAATAAAGTGGTCAGGTCTGTAATAGCTAAGAGGTAAGAGCTGAGTTGCTGAGGCTTAAAAAATTTCACACGAACTGGTTCAGCTCTCGGGTGGATCAGTGCAACTCAGACTCATCCGGTTAGTGCAAACTGCGGCTTCACACTTGTGTCACGAGAAAAACCAAGCTGGGTAACGCTGCCCTCCTGCTTGCTGCCCGTTTGCTCTGCTGGGAAAGGGTTATCAGCTGAGCAACTTCCTGATTTTTTTTCCCTGTTTCATTAAAAACGCAATCCAAACCTAAATGTACACCACAAAAAAAAAAAAAACAACCAAAGCCCCAAACATAATTTTGGAAAATGAAAATAGGAACAAGACGTTTTATTTTTTCCAGGGGGTATAATTCCAAATAGGGAATGGAAAGCTCCATCTTCTCACAAGCCAATACAGCTATGAATGCTTTAACCCAGATGTAAATGATGTTAAATTTCCCTTGGTGGAATCGGGGTAATACCTATCAGAAAGCACAATATTTAAAAAAAACGGTAATTGCAAATAAGGTAAATGTGGAGAACGTTTCGGAATGAGTGAGCGTGTTGTGCAATGTATAAAAATGTTAGTCACGGCTCTTCATCTATTTGTTTGTGTCCCTGGCAGGCTTCAATGGCTGAGAACAGTATACCTCTATACACTACTGCTTCCATGGGAAATCCCACTCTGGGCAATTTAGCCAACGCGATGAGGGAAGAGCTTAATGGTGCAATGGAGCATACGAACAGTAACGGGAGTGACAGTAGTCCAGGACGTTCCCCTATGCAAGCAATGTAAGTACGGCGGAGGCGCGTGTGTGATTCTAGATGTTGTCCTACCATCTGCTGAAGTGTGGCTCTGGAGGCCTTCGTGGCTGGTTCCTGAGGTTCATGGATGGAGCAGTAAGAGTACACATCTCCATCTGGGGACACGCTTAGGTTGATTAGAACATAAAAGGGCCGTTCACCAACTTCCACCTAGAATCCATCAGCTCAATCCAGTTCGCAGAGCACACAGAGCTATAAAATTGTTAACTTGTTTGCAATGTTCTTCTTCAAACCCTTCAAACCCTCACAGGTAACTGCTTTCTTGGAGAAAAAAAAAAATAAATCTGATTTCTCTTCCCTTCGGTCCACGCGACAAGCGTGCCGGTGGGGCAGAGCTGGGAAATGGGCTTGTTTGGTGGGTTTGCAAAAGTCCGCTCGACACACAACGGTCTTGCTCAGCATTAACGATGGCACACGTGAAGGTCTTGTGTGATTTATAGATTGCTCTTAAAATATCAAAAGGAAAATTAATAGGAGCATTATAGCAACAGACGGCAGTATAATGAGTGCATATATAACCTCATGAAGTAGCGGGGGGATCGCCGTCCCTGCTCAACGTGAATGGCACCGGGGCAGCGCGCTGGCGCAGGAAAGGGTAAGGCAGGAAGGGTGGGATGCCCCGATGGGTGTGTTCGGTATTTATGGGGTGACTGAGTGAGTTTGCAAAGCTATAAATTCCTCCCCCCTCCCCCTCCCCTGAAATTACATACCGGGTAATTGGCAGCTGGCGAGGAGGCTGGGGTTTATAAGTCTTGCAGTTCTCTGAAAACTCTGCAGAGCGGTTGGTTACCTGTGGGAGTGACCGTGCGCAGGAGCTGCGCTGCTTTTCCTTCTGCCTCTTCCTTAAAACGGGCTGTGAAATTACGGGCTGACTTGCCACGGCTCACATTACGCATTAAAAAGAGAACTAATTTGTAGTCTCTTACTTCAAAGTAATTTGAATAAGGGATTTATAGAAGTAAGTCTAAATCAGAAAGTAGAAAAACATTAACCTAATACCACGGTAGTAATTAGTTGTGAAACTAATTAGCATTTAATGGCAAAAAAGTTTCCCACCTGCATAATGTGTTGTCAGAGGGGAGGGGGCACGAAGGAATCTGAGGCTCTGGATACTTTGATATTGCAGCATTTTAAATCAGTGCACAAAGTGCTTTGAAAAAAAAAATCTTTAAAGATGGCAACATTCATTTTTAATTAATAATTAATTTAAACATTGTCTTTTACCATTTACTTCAAAACATTCAAATAATGTGTTTAGCTTTTCCAGTGATTGTTTGTGCAGTATTAATTATCTCTCCCAAAGTAGCGTTGCATGACACACTTTCCGTCTCTCGCAGACGGATTCATCTTGAGGCAGTTTTAGTCACAATTCGTTATCCTCTGCCCGTGACCACGCAGGGCCGGCGTGAAGGAGGAGTGGAGGGACGTGGCTTTTCTCCAGAAACAAGACTTCTCCCAAGGGTTTCTCCCGGCCAAACAGACAGGGATGAACGTTTATGATGTTGCGTTAATCCCAGTAATTATTTTTTTGCAAGTTCAAGGCGAGCGTAGTTCATGGACTTCTCATTTCACCTAAGGTTTCGTTGTCTTTGAAGAGACGGCAAGGAGGGAGAAATAACCGAGTTGAAACGGGGTAGGACATCTTGCAGAACTCTGCATAGCCGTGGCCTTTGTTGCACTTAATAATCATCTCTTAGCGCATTGATACCAAGGTGAGGGGCACAGAACAAATACTGCAGAGAGAGGAGGACGGGGGGAGGGATGCCTCATTTTCATTATTCACCAGAAAATCCAATTTTCTGTTGTAATATGGAAATGATTGTTTCCTGAGTGTTTTCATTTTCTCAGAATTGATAATATATGTGTTCTCCGCTGAACATTTCTTTTTGCTTAAGTAAAATGTGGCCGGGTGATGTTCCAATACCAGCCTCTGAGCTTCCCCATTAAAAAGGCATTTCTAAATAGTTTGAAGGGATCTACAGACAGAACGCAGTTCACAGGTTGCGGGGTTTACCCTGTTTACTAAATAAAATCCTGAGTCAACGGCAAATTTCCAGACGCTGTGCAACCTCTTATTTTCCATCAGCCCGCTTTGTTGATGACATTTTCAATTTTTTTCTCAGAACAGATTTCCGTGTCACAATGCAAATTATTTTTTAAACAATTTCAGTATATTCGAATAAATCAAGCTTTAAACTTTATTGTAGGGTTTAAAGGACCTTGTTAACATGACAGCTAAGAAGTCTAACACTTTAGCTGAAGTCTTATTACCGCTCATTCGTTTCCTTTTTATGACACATTGAACCACAGCTTTTTTTTTGCTTTTTTTTTTTTCTTCCCTTCTCTCTCCCTCCTTTTGAAACACTAGAAAGTAGTCGCATAATTACAGCTTGGGGACATAACACTTTCATCCTGATATGCTCCAAAGGTAGCCACAAAGCAAACTACTCCATGCTGTGTGCACCACCAGAACTCAGTGGCTTTAAACAACAGTCAGCTTTATTAAAAACTCCTCTGTTCCCAGAGTGGACAAACAAAAGAATTACTCAGATGTGAAAAGAAGGGGAATCTGTGTTCAGCAAGGTTATTTATTGTTAACCCCTTCTGGAGTCTCCGGCATCTACTTAAAAGGAATGGGCTGAAATTCTCCTACTACAAAAAAGAAATGGGAAACCCTTTATTCCCCCCCCACCCCCCTTTTTTTTTCTCTTTTTGCCTAGCCCAGCTTTTACCTTTTCTGTAATTTAGAGAGTGCATTCTTTAGTCTCTAAAGGAAGTTTTGCTTCCCCAGTTTGGGGTTTTGGTGAGGTGGTAAATAGAGCTTTGCCTTTGAGCTTATTTAAGCTTATTTATTTCAGTTGCTCTGAAATGCTTGAGCAAAATCGCAGATTCAGTAAGGTTTCCTCCTCACACGCCACTTTGTGGTTACGACCGATGGAGTGCACAAGGAGTTGAATTTTTTTTTCTAATTTTTTTTTCTTGTTTTCCATGCAGCTCTCTCCCCGGGGGGGGCTGTATTACCCAGATAACCCTCCTAATTTGGGGGATGGAGTTTTTGCCAAGCCCGCTGTCTGATGTTTGTCCAACACGTGAGCTGCCGGCGGAGGCTGGCGTGGCCGTGCCTCCCCGTGGCTTTGTGGCCCTCTCCGGCTTTGTCTCGCTCGGGGTCGAGCGGCCCTTTTCATAACTTGGTGCTTGCTTTGCCTTTCACTCCTCAAGTTTTGTTCTTTTTGACTTCTGGGAACCACACCAAACCTCAAAGAGGAACTGGGTGAAAACAACCTGGTTTCACCTGCTTTGGTAACAAAACCAGAAGCGGGGCAGAGTTTGCTTTGGAAAGGTTAGGGAACCGTTGAAGGAGTTTCCACCGCGTCGCGGGTGGTTGCGAGTCCAGCGAGTACCCATCGGATCTGCGCCCGTCCGCTTCTGGCCCAGCGCGAGGCGGTGGGGTGGGACGCTGAGATGTGGACCCCGATCCGCCTCTGGAGAAACTCCCGTCCGCGTGCCGGGGCCGCCTCTGCTGCACACCCCGCGCCTTCTCCTCTCCCCTCGCAAACTTTCCCATCTGCGCTTCCAAAAACAATATTGCCTTTTTCTTAAAAAAGGCGAAAATAAGCCCGGCACCAGCATCAAAACCAGAAAGCCAAAAAGGAAGACTTTTAAATTAAAACAGCAGTAAAAAACATCGCTGCCATAAAGGCCGAGTAGCACACGCTTTATCGCTCTCTATGTGTAGCCGCTCTTTCCCCCTTATTCTTCTGTTTTCCATTTCATATTTTCTCCCAAGTGAGGGGCCCCACAGCCTATTCATAATATAAGTGTTTCTGGTTGCAAATGATCGGCATGGTTGCACGTTCGCGGCCACGAGCCGCCGGGACGGTTAGCACATGCACACCTCTGAGACGGCGATCCGCTCGCTAGACTTGTTATGTGCTTATGCTAATTCTTAACCTCTCATATTTGAATCGTCTCCTCCCAGTCTTTTTTTTTTTTACCCCCCCTTTTTTCAACAATTAGGTCAAAATTGTATGAGCCATGTCTGTCTCCTTGTAATTTTTGCAAAAATTGTGTCACATGCAGAGAAACCTCTTTGCCCCCAGGGATGTGTTGATAAGGACACGTGTTAGTGAATTTGAAGGGAAAAGGTATGTGGATACAGCATCGCTTCTCCCCGCTGGTCCTTTGTTGGATGGGTTGGAAGGTGCAGTTAATACTTGATCTAGCACTTAACAACTCCAGAAGTTAATGTATGCAGGGAGTTGAGAGGCATTCACAGCTCACGTTAGAAATGCCCATAGTCAGCAAGTTGGATGCTTCCTAAACTGGTCCAGACTCAAGCCAAAATAAATAAATAGGGTGTGGTACAGCTCTGCACACTACGTAAGGGTACGACTGGTCCATGCGGGTCACTTGAAATAGGCAGTGTTACCTTTGGCTTCTACGTGGATCCCGAGTGTGTTTTCCCCATTCGGTGGTTTGTTCGTGCTCTGTGTCAGTGCGACGGAGTACAAACAGCGTCGTCGTTCCGATCCACACAAAACGTAAAATCAAATGCGGCTCTTTAAAATCATTCATTTTAAAGCAAAGCTGCGCAAGGAGAGAAAAAGTTCTTACAAACGAAGGTCTGCGCTTCGGGTTGTGTTTTCACGTAGCCTACATGAAAGGGTTAAATTAGTCCGCATGGAGAAAAACCAAGACTCTAGGAGGTGGATATCAACTCAATGAGAGACAGAGTGGGACTTGAACTCATTAACACTTTATTTTAAGGGATTGCCTACAACATCAATTATTTAGGAAGCAAACAGGGTCTCTGTTGCTGTGTCGCATTATTAATACTTGGTAATGTCAATAAAATCCTACTTCCCTATAAAGTCCCACCAACAAGACACTATTGACTCACATGGCTATTTTACATTTCAAAAGCTGCCGAACAAAAAAAAAAAAAAACAGGAAAAAAAACCACGGTAATTTGTATTTGTATAGGATTTCTTGTAAATATGATTTACGAACAACATTTTTCAATTGTTATCATACCCGTTTTGAATGACCAAGCCCCGTTCCCCTGCGGGTTATTCGTGTGCTATGCTGTAATGAGAAATTTGGCAGATCTCATCTCTTTAGTACATCCTTGTGCCCACCATGAGCTGGGGATCATGTTCTGCCTTGTTTACAGCTGACAGTGTTATTATTCTCGTTAGGACTGTGCTTTCTTATCATATTGTTGTGTTGAGCGAGCCTTTTCCTCTCTGTTTGTGTTTCCTGGCAGGGCTTTTCTTCCCTTATTGACAGTTTGTAAAAATATGCATTAATTTGGAGTTTAAAGCATGTATCATGGTGTCTCTTTGCTGTGTTTGCTTGAAGTTGATTAATGATAGAACCTCACTTGGGGTCGTCCTCTGGAGAGTTGTCTCACAGGTTCTGCATGTTAACGAGAGACGCCGCACACACAGCGAGCGATGATTAGCCCAGCCTCCGCCGGCTCGGCGGGCTGACAAACTGCTGCTTTGCCGTTCGGATGCTTATTCCACTTATTTATCCAAAGATTGTATTAATCAACTTAATAAGTCAGCTGAGAGCTTTTTCTCTTGATCCCGAGACGGAAACCCTATCGAGGTGCTCCTCCCAGAGTGTTTTCCCGGGGAAGTTGAGCGCTGCCTGCCCGGCGTAGCCTTCGCTTGGCTGCGGTGGCTGCCATAGTTGAGGGTCTTCTCCTCGGTGGCCTGGAGCTCCTAGGCCTTGGCACACCAGGTCTGAACGCCCAGACCGCCTGGCTTTTCTCAGACCACCTGAGCTGGCAAAACCCATTTTTGAACGAGCAACTTGCTGATTTGACCCTGTTTTCGTTTCTCCAGGCACCCCGTGCATGTCAAAGAAGAACCGTTAGATCCAGACGAAAATGAAGGCCCGCTATCCTTAGTGACAACAGCCAACCACAGTCCAGATTTCGATCATGACAGAGATTATGAAGATGAACCTGTAAATGAGGACATAGAATGAGTATGTCTGACATCGTTATCCTGAGAATGAAGATTGGAAGAACACGTCAAACTTAGCTGTGAAATCTCTCCATTATTGTACAGTCTGGAGGATTCTCAGTCCACTTTGACAACTATGAAATATGTTAACTCTTAGTGCCATCAAGTATCCCATTTGGGAGTATTTTTGATTTTTCTACTTTTTGTTGAAAAAAGGAATTTGTACTCTGTGCATTGGATGGACTTGTTTGGTACTTGGGATTTTCCTCTCTTACAGTCAACATCAGTGTTGTAAATTTGCTAAACTGATTCACTTGCATTTAGCAGCCAGCTGTGGACTGCAGGTCCTGCCAATTTTGGACACTTGAGGACATCAAACTGAGCATGTACACCTGAACTGCAGATCAAGTCTTTGCCCAGATTTTAAGGATTCCAATGGACAACATATTTGCACAGTACTGCATGTTGATTATCACTGCCTTTACTCCATTTTTTTTTGTTTGGTTTTTTTTTTGGGTGGTTTTTTTTTTTTTTTTTTTTTTTTTTTTTTTTTTTTTTTTGCTTCCATTTGGGATGGGGAAGGCCTGTGTGTGCACGTGTGTGGATATGTGTGTGTGCGTGTGAGCGTGTATATCGGGGGAGGGGTTAAAAGAAAAAATTATCCCAAACTTTTTAATGTATTGCTTTTATTCCCCCGCCCCACTTCTCCTCTACCATTTTAAGTTCTGACCTCAGGCCTCATCTGGGCCCAGGGCCTCTCGGAGGCTTCGACGTTTTCTGTACTTTGTGATGAATGTTAATAGGTGTTTTTATTATACGAAGCTGAATGTCATTGAATTGTTTGTAGTTTTTTCTGTCATTCATTCCAGTTTCCTTCAGATGCCACCATGTTTTCTTTAGCTATGGAAAACATTCCATTTCGGTGTCTCCTCTTTTTTTTTTTTTTCTTCTGTTGTTGTTTTTTGAAAAGGTCCCAAATGCTGCACTATACATGTGGAAGGGTTGTCCAGCGGAGAGAGAGGAACGAAGTACTGCGAGAATGAGAATGAATGACAGATGAACGTAGAAACACTGTAGGAAGCAACACAGATTCATTCCACAAAGCAGTATTTTTAATTTTATTTTGGGGGGGGGGGGGTTGGGTCTTTTTTTTTTTTTTTTTTTTTTTTTTTGGCAGCAGCGGTGAATATTAGCAAATGCCACAAAATTGAACAGCACAAAGAAACATATGCAGCACCAACAGAGTTCACTTTTATTAAGAGGATGAATAGTACAGTGGCAAGTTCTCGGTTGTTTAATACGAGTTCTAATGGGTCAACAAATCTTTCTGGAATATCGAAGATTACCGAGATGGGCACCTATACATTTATTATTACCTTTTTTTTTTCTTTTTACATTTGCATTCGCAAATAGTGGTTGGAAAGATGACTTCATTAAATTGTTATTGTATGTGGTGATGTTTCGCGGTTAAACATCAGTTCAGCATTGCTTGGTGGCATTAATCTGTTTGAATACAAATTAGATTTCAGATTGAACTTGTTACGGGAGTTAATAAGGACGGAGCCCCACTAATGCTAAAGTGTTAATTTTCAGCTGTGCACATCCAGTACTGCAGTTAAGATTGTTACGCAATATTACACCAGCCAGTATGGAAACCTCGCCGTAGGAGACAGGAGACGTAGGAGAGAATTCGTGCCGGGGCTTGTTAGGCAAAACTGGCAAGGCTCTTCAAAGCAAACACGACATACAAAATTTGTTGCGATAGGTCAGTAAACCTCAGTCACCAAACACCTAGACATTTTCATTCTGCAACCACTTTTCCGTCACTCATTTATTTATGTAGGACTGTAGCTTTTTTTATTATTTCAAAAAGCCTTTCAGAGCTTAATTTATATTCTTCTTTGTACCTTTTTTTTTTTCCTAAAATTACCAAAGATATTACACAAAGGTAAATTATGTTCTCTGTTATATGCTTTATCTTATGAAGCCAAATATCCTCTTATTGTTGATCAAAGGAGGTTGAAGAATTTAGAGGGAAATGACAAGATGTGGGCTATTGCTAACCTGAGAGGGAAACTGCTCCTTTATTCTAGAAAATTTAGAAGGCCAAGTAGATGTCTGAACCAAAGTTGTTACTTTTTATTTGCAATTCTTTACAGTGACCAAAATGTAAAGCCTGTAAAGAGGAATCGAGGAGAGCTTTTGAGGCTAGAACTAGGAATCAGTGTTACTGGTGGAGCTGGGAGAAGGGAGCTGGAGAAAGCAAAGACGCGGTTATTTCACGGAAAATTAGAGTATGAGATAAAGGAGACAGTTTAATAAAATACAGAAGAGAACAGAAAAGCTCCCACAATTTAACTGGACCACATAATAGTATTTCTAGAATTAAATGATAAAAAAAAAAATTTTTTTGGGTCTTTGGTTCTACAGATTGTGTGCCACTTCTGTTTCGGGACTGTGCTAGGATGACTGCTTTAATTTTGGTTGATCTTGGCACGTTTGCTCAGTTCTGTTTAGTTTTTGGTCAGCATTTTTCATAAGGAAATAACACTCCTGTCCACTCATAAGCTTTGGTACAAGAAATTTTATTGGCAGTTACTTTTATAAAATGCAACTCTGCTTTCTGTTTCAAAAGACAAAAAAAAAAGAAAAAAAAGGGCAGTCTGTGGTCATTTGAAACATTTTTTTTTTTTTTCGTTTAAATTATATCCAGGCAGCTTCGTGACGTGCCGGCGGTAGCCAGATGGGCATCATGAGAATTGAGCCCTGTGCTTCTAAACTGAGTGGTTTGCTAGTTAGTTCGGTATTCAGAAGGGGATAAAAATCTGGTAGATTAGTTCATTCTCAGCATGTGTAGCTAGACATGAGTAAAGATAACAGCATGAGAAACTGTTAGTACGCATACCTCAGTCCAAACTGTTAGGGAATGAGTAAATAAAAAATACATTTCACTCAGTTGCACTTAGTTGTATGTCTTGCATGCTTAGTCTAAAGACTGTAGCAAAAATAAAAAAAATAAAAAAAGAGAAAAAGAAATAAAAAATTAGATTTTAACATATCTGGCAGGTGTCGCAGCCTTGCAGAAGAACCAACTGAAAATCTCAGGCTTTACATCAAGCAAACTTCACTATGATTTTTACAATTCTGATTCTGTATCCCTTTGGATATACAGTTGCTTCTTTAGGGAGGGGTTTATTATGTTGTACATATATATCCCACTGTGTCTGTGTGAGCCTTTGTCTTTTGGGGGGAGGGCGGGGAGGGAGGAAAAGGTGGAAAGGTCCTTTTTTTAGATATTGTTCCTCAAAAGGAATAAATGCAGACCTGTTTGTCAAAACACCTTTTGCTTTTTGTGCAACTGCTTTATATTAACTATACTAAAAAAATAGCTTTGAAAAAAAAAAAACTACTGTATGTAATGGAATTGCAGAATACGCTGCACATGTATTTTATTTAGTTATCCTTGCTTTAAGAATATTGGATGACATTTGCTGACATGTGGGAGAAAATCCCTGACTTTTTTTTTTCAGCTTTTTAAATTGTAACATAGTTGACAGATTTTTTTTTTCTCCTGTTATCATTGATCGAAGCATTTTTGTACAGTTTTTGTGTTTAAGCTGGTTTTTTTGATACTTTCCCACCCCTTCTGTTATCTTACCACTGCCTTTTCTGGCTGTCTTAAACAAAGTTCATATATTTGAAAGGAAAAAAAAAAAAAGTCGTTTAAAAAAAAAAAAATGTTTTTCTCCTGCTGCAGTAAATATTTTGCATGATGAATTCCAGGGTCACACTTTCAAAGTTTATCAGTGAAGTAGTGATTAATAATGGGGAGTGTCAAACTATTGAACTTTTGTATAAAAAAAAAAAAAAAACTTTACAAGGTGCCAAGATGTAAAGACAATTTGTTACATGTTTTTTTTCTCAAAGAAAAGCGTACATTATGAAAGTAGTACCATGTATCAGGTAAATCGCTGTCAGGAATGAGAGTCAAAGCCTTCCTTGTCCACAAAAAAAAAAAAAAGTTTGTAAATGTAAAACCTGTCAGGTTTCCGCATTCAACTAGAAGTGAAATGAAAAATCAAGGCTTATGTAGAATAAGTGACCACAAAAAAAAATACTTCCTTTTTTTTTTTTTTGGATTCTTTTATATATATACATACATAAATATATATATATAAAGTTTTTTAAAATAATTTTGAACTATTGTAATTTTCAGATCACCGATAATCTCACGTTCATTATAGCATGGAAAAAAAAAAAAGTGTTTAAACTCTTTTTGAAATCCTTTGGTACCTTTAGTTAATGAACTCAGAGTGAGTTTTTCGATGTTTCAGAAGTCATTTAGCATTCCAGTCTTGCGAGGTGAATTTGCAGTTAACAACTGCATTTTAATGGGCCCAGAACAGGTAACAAAGTATCTTCTACCCATAAGCCTTGATGAAAATGGTACAGTCCAGACTGTTAGCATGGTGCTTCGTGTGTATGTGCTGCCAGTAACAAGATTTTTTTTTTTTTTTTTTTGATAAGGCATAAAAGAAACTCATTCCTTACATCAACTGTAATTCCATCATTCCATGTCTGTTGATACAGACAATAAAAAATGTTGTGTAGTCAGTACTAATTACTGACATTATAGCATTCTCAAATGCAATAAAAATGCTGGTTGTTCACACTGGTAATGCAAGTTGCCATGTCCTACGTTTTTGTTTTGTTCCCCCCCCGGCTTCCCCGCGCCCCCGATGACTCCCGTGTCGCATCCCCTGAGGCCCCAGGCCCCAGCGCTCATCCCCGCAGCAGACGGTTGCATCTCACCCGTGTCCCAGCGCGTTCACGGACAGCCTCATCGCTCTCCTTGGGTCTCCCCCAACTCCATCAAATCGCAAGATATTTTAGCGACGGTTTCACGGCCGGTCTGGACTTGCTGCTTGAGCACTGGAAGCGAGGAAGATGCTGTCATTCGAAGGAATTCACCCACTTTTCCAAGAAAGTCCATCGGTGTTTGACCATTAGGGTCAGGGGGAGTTGAGGGTATTTGCTTCCTCGTTGGACTCCGCTTCAAAGGATAGAAGAAGGGGTTTGGGGCCTCACCGTGCAAATCCTTCCAAGTGCAGTGCCCTGACGGGAGCTGCGCTGCCGGCTGCGCTGGGAAGGGTTCGACGCGTATCGTACGTATGCGCAAGGGGGTTTGCGGGATCAACGGCTGTGGTCCACAAAACCGTGAGGAGCAAAGTCCCAAGTCAGGCTGTCACCCGAGACAAACTTTAAAGGAAAAAGCCACCTTCTTTTCTTTCGAGTAAGCATGCATTTATTTTCTTCATCAAGTTTTATAAAGAAAAATAAAATGTTTAATAACTAGCATTAGCAGCAAACTGAAATTTCAGAGGAGAGATTTTTCATGAATAATTCATTAAAATTTCACATCTGCAAGATTAGTCATCCAAATAAAATGCTAATGTCAAAAACATGCACCGTCTATAATATTCTCATCAAGAAATCTTTTTGCATATAATGATAAATGCTTAAATTAGTACAAATGATTTTATAAAAATATTCTATCACAAAATTATACCAGATAAAGATATTGTGGGGGGGGGGGGGATCTTTGCACACTCATAATGTGTCTCAAAGTGGTATTGACCGATAGATTTTAATAATCAAAATATAGAGAATAAAATTTGGGTTTGGTCATGTATTGGGCTTTTATCACCAGTGAGGTTTTAGTAAACTGGAGAGGCCCCACTTTTGGGGTTAAAATTTTCTGAAGTCACAGGCAGAGGGTGTTAAGCTGGAATTTGGCAGGTCAGGAGCGCTCTGCGTCTCCAAAACGTGGGTGGGCGA